ATACCCGGGATTACACTCTGTGGTGTGATTTTGTTCATTGCATCGGAAACCGAGTCAAGAAATGAAAAGCTTATTACAAGGGTAACTTTATCTTTTATTCATTAATTATGTTTTTAAATTGTAAATACATATTGAATAATTTATGACTTTTTTTCACTTAGAATCGTGTCTGAAACTAATGTTCTAAGTGTAAGTGGAAAACCTAGAACAAAGACTTTGCAGTTCATTTATCCTAAGGTTAGAAACTTATTTATATAAGTGAATACCATAATTATTGTTTGTATTTAAATTTTGAAAATAACATTATGTTTTTTTCATCATTTCGAGTATAATAAGCAAACAGACTCGTTTGAATGTGGTTACTATGTTATGTATTGGATGAGAGCCATAGTTTGTGCGGGTATAATTGATTCTTGGACGGAGGCAATTGCTTTTAACATTAGTTAGATTTATTTAACTTTATTCATGTTGCACGTTTACAAGAGTCAAATTAATGCTTCAGGTATTTCAAGATCCATCTCCATTACCAGAATCTGATATTACACAAATTAGAGAACAATGGACAAAATTTTTTGTTCAACAATTCTAGTACATAATTTTTTAAGCTCTTATTCATATTATATTGTGTGTATTATGTAGTTTAGGTAGCTTAGTTTGTATTAACTTTTAGTTTGTAATAGATTTTTTAGTTTGTATGTTTGTATTATATTGTTTTATTATGTAGTTTGAATTATATAATATTATATTTTTAATTTACTAGCTAAAGAAAATTGAACCTCTGGACTATCTCGGTTATTTGCGGGTTTTAGTTGTAAAACGAGAATCAACCCAATTAAAAAAAACAGCAAATTTACGTCGCATATTGGTATATGTGACGTAAATTTACGTCGCATATACCATATGCGACGTAAATTTGTTTTTTTTTTTAATTTCTAAAAATTTTTACGTCTGTTTAGTGGTATATGCTACGCAAAATTACGTCGGGTCTTGATAACTGACATAAATTTACGTCGGGTTAAAGGGTCCGACGTAAATTTACGTCTCCCGTTTTAACGTCAGTCTTAAATACGACGTAAAAAGCCCTAAATACCTAACTAAAAGCCCATTTTTGCACTAGTGAAAGCAATTGTAAAAAGAAATTTTTTTATATAACTTATTGACTTGATGCAAATAAGTATTGCAACATGTAGAATTGTATATAGCAAGTAGTGACTAAATGTTTTGATCTCATGAATAATGATCTCAATCATATTTAAATGTTTTATTAGTGATTTATAACTCCATTTTGGGCATGAATTGAGTCACATGATATTCAATGTCAAAGCTGATACAATTCTCATTAAAAACATGAGAGTTTTAAATGGACAATCATTAGGAAGAAAATATTCTAAATTTGAAAATGATCTCTTTGATAACAAATGAACAAGTTATATCTAGTTAATCCATCACTTAAAACAATAAAATATAAAAATGGTGCACATGGATAATGTATTGATCCATAAATATCACCTTATATCAAATCTAAAAGTATAATAAATTTATTCCTAATTTTTTTAGGAGATTGTTGTGTTAAAAATTGTTGGACTAAAAAAATCTTTTGATTCTTTAAATTAATTTTTAATTATTTTTGTACCATGAAATACTTAGATGGTATAATTGGTCATGCTAATTATTTTTGATTTGTAAATTTTTGTTTTATACCGTCTCAAATGCACTATAATATATATATATATTAGAAATCATAAATTTTTATAATAAAAATATTTCATATCTCTTTCGTTATTTATTTTAATATAATATTAATTTTATTGCATATCTTTTAAACTTATTATTTTTTATTAGACTTTATTATAAGAATAAAATACATTTTTAATATTTTTGGTAACAACCTATATAATATATTTTAGAGGGTTTTCAATTATTAACTTCTCAATACTTTTTAGAGGGTTTTAATTATTTTTAATACATTTTAAATGATTTTTGATAAAGTTCAATAAAATGTTTTGGTGTATAAAAAAATTGAGACCAATAATCCTTATCACCGTAACAAGAATATATATTTTCATATTGTTCATTTTTCTTCCTCTTAATATATATTATTGTCTCACTTCTATCAAAAAGAGGTATTCTAGAAAATTTATTTATGTTTCCATGATAACTAGCATGACACGACTACAAACGTATAAATTATACAATATTACGTTCAATTCACTTGTGAGAATGGAACATTATTAAAGGAGGGATCATAAGTTTCCATAAAAAAAAAACTTACTATTTTGTTGAACTATAAAAAGATATGAAATTAGTTAAGTTTTTTTTACCCTTTTAACGTTGTCAGAGAAGTAATTACTTGCATGAAAAGTGAAGAATATTTTCTCTAACAAATCAACATTGTGAAATTATATTGGCTAATAAATTTTAAATCCTACAATTATAAATACATTCAATCATATTTTTTCATTAAAAAAAATTAAATTTTCTCGACGGATCAAATTCATCGCTAATCAAGAAAATTTATCGGTAAATACATATTACTAACGAATTTGAAAAGTTCATCGGTAATTACCAACGGATATGTCAATCAATAAGTAAACATTTTATTATTCTTTTAGAAATTTCAATTATTATTCGATTAAGAATCACCTTAGAATTGGAGGTTAATACTCCAACCACTAAACTACTAGAATTTTTTTATAATAATTTATAAATAAATTATATTTATATACAAGTAAATGTATATCAGTGTAAATATATAAATATAAAATATATAGATACAAATATATTTATATATTTATATATTTATATGTTGGATGTGAGAGCTGCACTCGAAAGTAAAAGTGTGTGTCGAGTGAGTTTTCAAAATAAGTGAATAATGATAGAATATAATCTTTATAATTTATTTATATAATTATATAAAATAATTTTTTTCTTTTTTTATTTTTATTTTATTCTTTTATCTTTTTTTCTTCTATTATTTAATTAAAAGTTTTATATTAAAATAATTTTTTCAATATTAAAAATACTTAAATATTTATTTTTAAAATTATTTTTTAAAATTATTTAATTTAACAAATTATTATAAATTAATCTAATTATTATTAAATTAAATTATTAAATAAAAAATATTTAATTTTTTTAATTAAGTGAATAATTAATTTATTAAAATATATTTAAAATTAAATAATTATTATATAATTTTAAATATTTAATTTTTTTAATTTAATATTGATTTTTAAAAATATACTTTAAATTAGTTAGTAATGTCCAGTTCAGTAACTAATTGTTAATTTACTGATCGAATATATCCGTTGATAACTAATTGTTCATTTATCAAAATTGTTAATTTACCGACGAATATATCCGTTGATAACTAATTGTTCATTTATAAAATTGTTAATTTACTGACGGATATATCCGTCGTTAATTAATTGTTCATTTACTGACGGATATATTCGATCAAGTAAATAATTATTTATTTATCGAAGGATTTACCGATGAATATATTCGATCAAGTAATTAATTATTTATTTATCGACGAGATATATCCGTTTGTAAGACTAAATTCTACAACTACTTTAGATCCGTCAATAATTTTAGATCGATAAATGAATAATTTTTCGCTCGATCATGTCCGTCAATAATTAATAATTTTATTGTGATGTTTAAAATTATTACATAACACAAAATAGTAAAATATTCAACTTTTTATCATTCATATATAATGGTGACAAAGGAAAATTATAACTTTAGTATTATCTTACTAAGACAGTTTTTTTCAATGGCATCACCAATCACCAGTCACCGAGACGAATTGCAATAATTTAAAATAAAATTATTGAAATTACAATAATTTAAAACAAAATTATTGAAAAAATTGCAATAAACAATATAAAAATAATAGAAATATAATTATCCTAGTCAGAATGTTCTAACAATAGTGCTGATATCATATTATAAAATATAATTCTAAAATAGAGATAGAAAGAATGAGATATTTAAGTTAATTGTATTTCAATAAATGAAAATATTATGTTTATAGATATAAAATATAATTTAAAAAATTATTAAATCATATAATACTAAAAGATTAATAAAACTAAAAAAAAAATCAACGATAACTAATATTAATTCAAACACACATATCAATTAAATAAAATATATTTTAAAAATTTTCATTAATTTAGATGAAATTTATTTATATAGTAATAATAGATGAAATTTATTAAGATTTGCTTATGTTTTTCATCAGCACATAGTATATTTTTAATCCTAGTAAACATTAAATTGTCATTTACACATGTCATTACTTGAAGCCACTGAGGGGATAAATGGATTGAATTCCATTTACAAATAGTCCAGATCAAACTCACATATAGTTACATTTCTATCTTTAAAGTTCATTTTAATACTAACAGCCACCAAATGTGTTATTACTTTGACAATTCTTGCAATAATTTATACAATATTATTTTTATCCTCTATCATTTTTTTTTTACATTTCACATTGAAACAATTACATTTCTCATGTATTACTCGTGATTTTATTTGTCCCATCCATTTCATTGTAGCATGTTTGTGTATTGTAAGAGATGCTAACACAATAGTTCATTTACCAGATAAATTCACCTATAACACCCCCCACAATGTTTCATACACAGATAATACCTAATACTGGACATAAGATTAATCATGATAAACTTAGACATGCAGCCAAATCCAATTAGCTACAGTGATTTCATTTTGGTCTTTGAATGGTACAGTATATCAAACAACTAAGCATGTATCCTAACATGAACTTCATAGGTCAGTGAATGTTACAAAAAAAGACTTAGACCTTTTTCTATTTGATTTAAATAATTTAAGAGTAGGAGTAGAGTGACTGCACATATCTAACTGAATATGATGTAGAAAAAAAAAGGTGAAAATACAGGAAGTTTTTCGGTATTAGTAAATATTAACTACCTTTCTGTCCCTAAATGCCTAAAACTGTTTCATATCATTCATTTTTCATCTTCCTCCAATATTCTTTGTGCATTTTTAAAAACAGGAGAACCTTTCTTGGTCCTTTCAACAATTTGCCTTATCAATTGCTGCTCCACCTCATTATCATCAAAATCACTACTTTCAACTTCAGTACCATCTAATTCATAAATTCTAGAGCTGTGCCCATCCAACATTGTTACCTCACTAGAATCATTTGCTCCATCATGTTGAATCCCTAATGCATGCAAAACATGCGAATGTGAACCTGCCTTATGATCAGTACTATCATATGGTGAATTTTGTTCAGAGTCATTGATCTTTATCAGTTCTTCATAGGCCTCATTGTATGCATCTAGAGCTTCACCTGATAAATTGATGATTAAGGGCTGGGACATAAGGTCACAATCATCATTTCCTCTACTAAAGGAAGATGCCTTATGAAGATGAGGCTCTTGCTTTGATTCCAGAAGCAGCACTTTCCTCTCACTTTTTTCAAGGGCAATCTCAAGCTCCTGCACCCGTTGCTCAAGTTGAGATTGTAAAACTTCATGCAATCGCAAACTCAGTTCATGAGGCAAAACTGCATAGTTAACTGGGAGAGGTGTTGGATCACCGGCATCCTCATTCGATTCTGAAAGTATGGAATATTTCCCACTGACCATGTCAGCTCGTAACTCACCTTGGGAAAAATCTGCTACAAACTCTGGATCAATCTGCAAGAATTTGTTTACCATTAGCCCGTATAAGAACCATCAATTTCAACCACAAAAACATTGGTAAAAAGTATGGGACGTAATAAGCTTCCACTTGAAAAGGAAAATGTGTATGATTTGCAAAACAAAGAAGGATCGGAACTTCCAGGAGAAGTAAGGGGCATAAAATCAATATCAATAGAAATGCGAAGATTTCTTGTTCTTTTAATCCCCACACTGATGCAAGTTGGTTGTGTCAGAGAACTCAGTTTATTTATTGCGGTAATTCTGACTTCTAGTATAATAAATTAGTCATGTGAATTAGAACCTAATATATAAGAACAAGTGGAAGTACTAGACATCAGTCCTTCATGTTACAGACTAAGGTTATACTTTGTACTCTCCATAAAGATGAAAAAAGGTTAACAAAGAGGAATTCTGTAACATAATTTCTTTCAAGGCACGTAAATAAGAAGGCGTCATTCCATTCCATTTTTTGTTATTTCCACAACAGGCAAGGATGACACCAACTAAAGTAGGAGGTGAATAAAGCGCAGTCGGCAGACAAATCTTCCAAGAATGATCCATGTTTGGTTTTTCATCGAGTTTTACATTAGCTTCTAAAGGCAGAAGACAAACCTCTTCCTTTACATGGGTTTGGGACCAACTATAATAGCATAGGCGGAGTTAGGAGGTGAATAGATGGAAGAACTAATAATTAAACACATTAAAACAAATATATTTCTACATGTTTTGTGGCAGAGGAAAACCTAATTACTAAGAAATGTGAAGATAAACATATATTCTTTACCTCAACAAGCTCAGATAATTTTCTTTCTAGGCTTGATGCATTCATGTCCAACCCCAATCTCTCAAGTTCAGCTTCAAGCTCGGCTTCAATTTTGCTCATGGATTCTGAACTTTGATCTACCTTTTGTTGATATGATTGTTTGGAGTCAATTCTTGGTGAGTTTCCCACATGCTTTTCAGGGGAAAATTCATTTAGCTCCTTATCATATGAGGAATGATCACAAGTATCCTGTGAACCATAATTTTCATTCTGTAACTCCTTCACAGTCATTGAATCCTTCATTTCAAGTTCCTCTTGTAGATCTTGAACCAAGTTTTCGGTCTGCTTCAATAACTCACTTAACTTGCCTATTTCTCTTTTATTTGCCACAATGGAAGTTATCATCCCAAAAGAAATCCCAAGACTGAAGAGAAGTGCTTTATCTGATGAATGTTAACAAATTTAGCAATCAAAGTATAACATTTTACATTTATCCAAATCAATATCTAATACATGTTGTCCACCCATGAATAAATACAGTAGGAGACTGTTACTAAGCATAATACAGAGAAAACTAAAAGAAAATATATATTATCATATCCAAAGACTGTCAATTTACTCATTAGTAACTAACAAGTGTGTTATTCCTACTACAAAAGAAAAAAGGTCTAAACATAAGCATGAACAAGAAATATATAAATCAAACATTTGTAACACAACATAGACAAAGGAGGCATTGTTTAAATCAGGAAATATACCATATTGTTGAGTGTGGACAAGACTTCGACTCGACACATTGTCAGAATAGCTCAATCTTGGACTTCTCCCAATGACTGCATTAAAATTCTCCTTAGCATCATTTATAGATCTGATTTTTGGTAAGGAAGGAACCCCAAATACATTTTCATCCTTTACTCGACCAGCTTCTTTTTGCAGCTTATATTCCTTGCTTCCAATCAAAGCACTAAACAGACTATTATTTTCTCTGTTGATTATTTGGCTTCCATTGCTTACAAGAAATGATCTTGTGGTTGTTGACTGCGATGCAATAGAACCAAAAACATATTCTTCAGTTTCAGCGTGCTCTTTGTATAGCTGAGCCATAAAGCAGCTTTCCAGGGAATTTAAAGGTCTAGGAACACGCCCAGACAAATGCTTCATCCTGAGAAGGTTTTTTTGTCCAGAAGAGTTGTTGATAGGAATCACTTCAGCAGAAGAATCTGGAATAAGGAAACCATGATCACCAACAATGCTAGAGCTTTGGCCATTTCCATCATCAACACCCTTGAAGTTATCATCATATGGTGATAAGGGCATTGCTAAGTTTGATAAAGATAGAATATCATGCTCGTTATAATTCCAAAACTGCTGCAGTTTTTCACTTTCAAACCCTCTGGCAGAAGCCACTTCTCTTGTCACAAGACCATCCTGTGTGTTCAGATCTGAAGTCCTTCCATCAGAACAAACACCCTTGTCCAAATCATCTCTTCGGGCTTGTTTGACGAAGGGAGAGGTGAAGCTAGGGGAGACAGGATTCTGAAAACACGAATCCTCCGAAGGCACATGACCAGAGCTATCACCATGTTTTCCAACCTTGTTCCAATATTTAGCCAAATAGCCAGCTCCAGCAGCAGCTGCTACAACCCATAAATCCATTCTATCCTCCCCACCACAGCCACTACCCAAACTCCACAGCACAAGTCACCCCTTTTCTTTCAACAATTAGCACCAAACAGCATAGAGAATAACCTTCCATGAATTAGAGAAATACCCTTCACCTCTTCTAGCAATAACAAACAAAAGTACCACAAAAACCACTTCCTGCTAAACCAAAATCCTTCATTCACCACGCATTATTCCTCCTCCCAAACCAACCCAAACCCCTACAATTCACTGCTCTAAAACCCAAGTCATAACCATAAGAAACTACTTCCCAGTCCCAATCAATACTTGAAAACAGAAAAAAGCAAGTTAATAAAAAAAAAAAAAAAAACTGATAATACCCAGAAAAAGAGGGAATCAAAAAAGGAAATTCACAACTTTCTCTCAACCTCAAATGCCATAGACAACCAAAGTTCATTACAACAATAACAAATTTTCATGGGAGAAACAAAAACCCATTTGACCGAAAAGAACAATAGAAGCCAACACTCACGCAATTTATTTACTACAAAAACAAAAGGAAACAGGCTTTTAATTTTCAGGCATTGCAGAAAAGAAAAAGAAAAAATGAGTTTGTTTTTGGGAATCGGTGGTGAGTCTTGTGAAAGAAAATGTATGACATGAAAACGAGTCGAATCTTGGAGGTCAGGTACCTCCAAACATAATGAATGAGACCTGCTACACCGTTATCTCCACAGAACAGATACAATACGACGTTTTCACGACACAAAAACACTGGTCGCTAATAACATATCACACGGATAAGAACATAATAAACATTTATTTTTCTGCACAGAAATTTCGCTGCTTCTCTCTCCACTTTTTATAGGGTCCATTGGAGTCTCATCCAAATTGCCCTATGTCTTCAAAAATGAGAGAGAGCACGGTAAGAAAGAATGAACCTTAACAAAGAAAGAAAATTATAAATGGAATATGCATACACCCATGGTTATTCAATCATAAAATAAGTCATTTTTTTAACTTTTATAATAATAACAATATTTTAGTTTATATATTGTATACACTAAATATATAATTAAAATGCATTTTTGAATATAAATAAGACACTATAGTTTGAATTTGTTATAAATATATTTTTTAAATATATAATTATAATTCAAATTTGTAGTAAATAGTTTGTAATGTTATACAACATTAATTTAAACACTATAATTTTTAAAAAAATTAAAATTCAATCTAAAACTAAAAATATTAGAAATGATAAATGAAAGAAATAAGAAATTAAAAATTGTAAAATTATTTTAACTGAAAAGAAAATTCCAAGAATAAAGTCGTAAAAAAAGTAAAAATCTTAAAAAAAATATTGAAAAAATTTATTCTAATTTTTTGGAGAAAGAAATTTATTTCAATTGTATATTTTTTTATTAAATGACAGAATAAACAATTTAAGTCCATCAAATAGTTGCGTAGAAACTTTTTTCTAAAAGAAGTTGGGTTGACACTATTAAACTATATTTATCTCATTTGTCAGAGTTATATACAAAAGGTTGGAATCAAATTTCTTTTAAAATAAAAATTGAAAATCAAACTTTAGTCAACGTGTGTTAATCTTACAATGTGATTCAATCACCAATTATCATATTAATTTATCAAAACCTAAAAAAAAAAAGAAAAAATATTTGTAGCTATTTAAAGTAATTTTTCAAGGCATACAATTTTTTTTTTCTGTCTGGTTTTACTATGAATCAATTATGCAAGTGATGTCCTGTTATATTCGTTTGTTTCCATACAAACTTTAGGAAAAGGTTCGATTAATGAGTGTCCCAACCAAATGTCATGTCTGTAACATGTTTATTTATATGGGATTGAATATGAATAATGAGTTTTGTTTAGCTACGAAATTATTGGGTTGAAAGATGAAGCTGTCTACTTCTCTTATAATCTTTTATTATTGAAATTTATGGCATTTTTTAGCCTTTAAATGAATATGTTGTTCATTATTTTTTAAACCTTTTTAGGATTTTTTTTAAAATTAATGCATTAAAGAAACTCATCAAAGAACTATGTAGTAATATTAATTATTAAGTGTAACTAGCTATATATATAAATAAATATTTTCTGTCAAAATATAAATAAATAAATAAATACATTTAATGATTTTTATTTTTTCGATATTTGTCTTGTAACTTTTCTTTACTAAATTAATTAGTTAATTATTTTCCTTTTGAAAACATAAAAATTAGTTTATATGCAAATAAGAAGATATACAAAGAAAGTAAAGAGAAAAGATGATAATTTGGTTTTATATAACATATTTTTAATTTGAAATTTATTTATAAGAATGAAATTATATATAAATAATGTAGAAAACCAAATTAAAAATACCGTATATGTATTTAGATCAAACTAGTATAATATTTATAATATATAGGATCAATTTATTAATATTTTTACGTACAGAAACAAAATTAAAAATATAAATAAATATTTACTCTAATAATCTCATATGATTGGGAGAAAATAAAACCAAATCTAATTAACAAATGAAGGATATACACAAATAATATTATTTATAACAAATAAATGTGTCTTATGAAGATTTTATTAGAAAATCCTAATACAATGATATAATGAGAATTAAAAGTTAATTATTCTTTTAATAAAATTTGGCTGAAATAGGGAACAAAATTTGGGGGAGGAGAATTGAATTTATAAAATCTTATTGTAAAACTTTAAGTATGGATGGGTTTGATTCAATTGTCGCAACAAAAGTCAATGCATTAACAAATGATAAATTTGTTTCTTTAAAATATATAAAATTTCCAATTTAATATTTGAATTTAAATAAGTTTCAATATAATACTATAATTTAAATAAATGAAAAAATAAAATTTGAATCAATTTCTTATCATTATTTTTCATTTGAATTAAGTTTTTATATGTTATCATTAAAATATAATTTAATTTATAATGTTGTATTTAGTTCGTAAGAATTACATTATATTTTAATAATAATATATAAGAATTTGTTTGAAAAAATATAAAGTCAAAGATGAAAATACTATGTATTTATTTATTAATATCTAAGGACTAATGAATATTTAAGCATATTTAAAATTTTAGAATTTAGATTGAGTTTTTTATTTACTTTTTTGATCTTGTAAGTATTTTTATTGTTTGATAATTAAAGATATTTTAGACATTAATTTCTTTTAAAAATTAAATAACTTATTATATTCATAATATATAATATATGTTTAGGTAAACTTTTTAAAATCTTTGTTACTATCAATGTATTAACAGATCATCAGATAATATATTATTTATTTTAAAATTTGATATTTTGCTATAATTTTATTATTAAAATATTTATAAATATTTTTTACTTGTTAAATATTTTTTAAAATAATTATTATTATTTATAAATATTTTTTATCATTTATAAAATTAAGATTATATTATTAATTATAATTTTACTAATTATATCTGTATTTTTTTATTTATATCTATTACAGGTGAAAAACAATAACATATTAAGAAAATTTTGAATGAAAAATAAAATAAAAAATATTTATTTTAATTTATGTAAAACTTATTTAAAATTGAAAAAAAAATAGAAGAAGTATAATATACAAAAGTTGTGATTTTTGTGTACAGTGGGATTACCTATTATTTTTGTATTCTTGGGGCATGCGTGATGTCACGTTTATGACAAGAAAAGAATTTCAAGATTTAAAAATTGAATAAGATTCTTGAATTTAATAAAATAATATATTTATAATATATTAAGATATAATAAATTTATTAATAATATATTAAAAATAATAAAAATGATTATAATAATAAATATTATAAATATAAAATATATTAAAAATATAAAATAAATAATTATTAAAATAATATAAAAATATGATAAAATAATTATTATTTAAAATTGACATGATTAATATAAAATAAAATATAAATAAAAATAAATTATATTATTTAAAAAAAATATATTGAAATTTTTAAATTTTTTTACTATTAAAAAAATCTAATATTTTTATTTTATTAAATTTGTATTGATTTCAACGAATTTTATCTTGATTTAATTGAAATCTAATTATTTAAAATAATATTATAATATTTTAGGTGTAAAATGGGGTTAAAAAGAGTGGTACAATGTTATTTTAGGTGGTTGAATGTAATAAGAATATTTTGAACAAAAACAAATGAGAAAGGCACAGGTGTAAAGAAATTAGCTTTGAACATGGAGGGAAAGCTGAAAACACTACATTCATAACATAACGTTGACTACTGAGGATTAAGAAAGGCATTGATTGATTCAAGTACCACTTCAATAAATTCTTCTATGTTACGCCTGATTGAGATGGATTCTCATATGATATACAGTGTTTTATTTTAAGTTAAATGAATAAAATATTAAAAATAAACTAGAACAACGTTACATGAAATAAATGCATTATATATTAATAATTTTTTTGTAATATAATAAATCAATGTTTAAATTTGTATTGAAAAATATGTTTATATTTCATGTGAGGTCGTGCCTCTAACTAAATTATCTTTTACTTAAAAAGAAGTTATTTATTTTGAAAAGTCTTCAATTTAGAAAATTGTATAATATTTTAAATTTAGTTTATAGAAGTCTTTGATATGTTACATTCATTGAAAAGTACCCCTTGATTTTTCTTAAGTGGTGTTGAAATACTCTTTTAATTTTTACGTCAATTCCTAGAATACCCCCGAAATATCAATCTTAATCTTTAAATCATAAACATGGATTAATTGGTTCGAATATCAATATTGGGAAAAACTATTGTATGACCTTCAAAGGAACTTATCTGAATCTTGTCTTCTCATTAATTATATCTTGCTGAAGAGAAAAGAAAATTCTGGCGTCATCTGCCTCAGTGCTCCTTCCCTAATTTAATATATTTATAATTTTATTTTTTCTAAATTTAATGATTATTTTTAAAATTTTATAATTTATATTAATATTAGTATTTATAATTTTAGTTTTTTAAACTTAATTATTATTAATTAAATATAGTTTTTTATGTATTTATAAATTTTATTTTTTATTTTTTTATTTTTATTAATAATATATTATTTTACCTTCTAATATTAATTATTAAGATAAAATTATATCCATGTGAAGCACCTCCATTGTCATGTGAAGCACCTATTATTAGAACACGAAGAAGAAGGAAGAAAAGATAAATGATAACCGTAACATATAGAGGATAAAACTTTAATATTATTGATAAAGAAAGCCAAAGCTATATAACTCAAGAACGATGGGTAAGGTTTACATGCAGGAAAACAAAATAAAACAGAAACAACAAATAACTGTAAAAAAAAAAGAAAACAGAAATAAAATAAACCAAATATCCCCCAGGAAGATGTTTTCGATGCCAACTTGAACAAAATCCTAAGA